CAATAATATATGATAAATGTATCAGAGAGGTACAAAATAAAGGACTATATGCACCCCTCAGGGAACAGCTTTACTGATAAAAGGCATCAAGGAAGACTGAATCAGCGAAGTATTACTTGAGTTGAGCTTTAAATGATAGGTAGTAATTTAATATATGAAATGAAGCAAGGGAAAATATTCTAGGCACAGAGACTATTAAGAGAACAAGGAATTAGGAAAGCAAAAGGCAAGTTTGAAGAATAGAAAAGTCCAATTTGGCTAAAACACTGTTGTTGTTTTTAAGTCCTCATGACCCCGTTTGGGGTTTTCTTGGCAAAGGTATCAGAATGGTTTTCCATTTCCTTCTCCAGCTTATTTTGCAGATGTGGGAGCTGAGGGAAACAGGGTTAAGTGACTTGCTCAAGGTCATGCAGCTAGTAAATATTTGAAGTCAGATTTGAACTCAGGAAGAGTTTTCCTGGCTTCCGGCCTGACACTATCCACTGTCCCACCTAGCTACAGATAGATAGATGACAGCTAGCTAGATAACTAGATATAGGTAGATAGGTAGGTAGGTAGATGGATAGGCTAAATAAAAGATAAAAATAAGGTTGGTAGATAAGCCTAGGGGAAATAATAAGAAGTGACTGATTAACAGGTAAGCATTACTGGGGAAAAGTATGTAATTGCCCCTAGGTATTTTTGTTCAGTATTTTTTTTATTTTGATATGCTTTAGTATTTTTGCTTGACTGTTTTAATAGAATCTGCACTAAAGTCTTGGACTGATTTCCTACCATGGCATTGAGTTGACCTGCATTCTTGAAAGTTATTTGAGAGGACCATGAACTATTACAGGTTCTGTCAAACTGAAAAATCTTGAGTTTGATTCCTAGGGTGCACTGCAGTCCTGCAGTCTAGGGATCAGACCAGCTAAGTTTGGAAATTTTCATTACTGGCTAGACTATAGAGCCATAGATTTGGGGGGCACAACAACTCTCAAAAACTGTTTTCTAATAAGCATAGTGATTGAAATGGGTTCATGGAAGAATTATTACCCATTCCTATGAAATTACAGATTCTTGAAGTATGGGCATTCCAATAGAATTCTTTAAAAACTTTAAAACCACAAATTATATGGAAACATGTTACTTTTACATCTATAGGCAGCCAACTTGTTTAGACCAGGAGCCATATCCAAAGCATCATTGCTCCATCAGTAACAGGTGTATTCTAAGTATAGGCCCAGTATCTAAAAGAAAGTAAACAGTTTCTGAGTATTGAGCTTTCAAATCTAACCCATTAAATATGCAGTATGCCTTTTAGAGACAGAACAACCATATAAGAAGTTCGCGTTGCATTCAACAATCATTAATTAAGATTTTATTAATATAGCACCATACCAGGTCCATAAAAGACATGAATAAATAGAAGACCCTGCCCCTCAAGCGCTCCTAATTTAGGTAAAGAAACAAAGCAGACATTTATCAAATAGCTTTAGAATAATGATGAAACAATGCTAAGCAAGTATATGATAACACAGTATAAATTGCGTGTGTGTGTTGCTAAAAGGGGCATGAGCAGAGGTCATATGGTGAATTATTTCACCATGCAGTAATATTTGATGGTAGAAATCATAGCATGATATGGCTAATAATAGATCATTCTCATTTCACATATGAGCAAACTGTATCCCAGAGAAATTTGCTCAAGGTCATATGGTCAGTAAGTGGCAAAGTCAGGATTCCAACCCAGGCCTTTGACCTAAAGGCCATTGATTTTTCCACTACCATATACTATATCTCATGCCAGCAGATTATATGAAAAAGCCTAAGCAGTCTTCTTAAGCCACCATAATGAGTCTTTCTGTAAGCCTATTTGTGTGTAAAGTATTTTGTGTTTCAGACATTTTTGCTGCTATGAGAGAAAGACCATTGGGTGTTTTCTCATTTGTAAAGTAGAGATAACTCAGAACCACCATGCATTGTTGCTGTAAAGAATAACTAAAATAAAGTGAAACTTTTACATTCATCAAATTGCCAGGTTTTTTTTTTGGCAATTAGCTGGGTCAGTAATATTTCATTAAACAGATCAAAGAATTATTGAAATTTGAAGCCAAAAGAGACATTAGAGATCAATTATTTTAACTTTCTAATTTGATAAATGAGGAAACTGAAGAGCATAGAAGTTAAGTGATTTGCCTAAGGTCACATAGCTAATTAATTACTGACAGAGCTGAGATGAGATAGATGAGGAAATAGTCAGAAACTTGCTAGGAATAAACTCCAAAACTTACAACTTCCATTCAAGACTGGTGTCTTCCTCTGTTATTGTCTTTTCCAATGCAAATAGACATATCTCCCATTTTACTTTCATATTACAAAGGACAATGTCTTCAGAGGCGTAGATTAGACCTTTCAACATTTTTTTAAAATGTGCCATAGAACTGTCCAATGTGCTAGAAAAATTCCTTTGTTTTTTTAAATCATCGTAACTACCACTAATATTTCTCTTTCTTAATTTTCCTCCTCAAATCAAAAGGGAAAAGAAAATAAAAGAAAGTTATTGGAGCTTTAAAAAATGTACAGATAAAGACAAAAAAAAAGTTCATGGGAGACAAGCATCACATCTTTTGAGCTGATATGTTGACTTCCATGTACACAGAGCCCCCCCCAAAACAAGTTGTACACAATAGCAATACATAGTTTTACGTGCAATACACTTTTTCTATTTTTCTTTGTGTATGAAAACATTCATGTTTGTCAAGTTCAGAATGACAAAAATGAATTATTAATCATAAAATAAATTAATAACTATATTTGTTGAATCAAGTTTAACTGGAATAACAATAATTAGGCTGAGCATCTATTATCTACTGCTCTTTTGCTATAGCTGGTCTATGGTCTCTTCTGGTTTTGATTATGTCTTTTAAGCTCTTCCTACAAATTTCACTCCTTTAAATAAAACCATTACATGAAAAACCTAGAATTTTAAAAGATACTATAATGAAATTTGCTTTAACAAAGGCTTCAGAACAGGAGTCCTGGAAGCAGTGAATTACCTAGTGTTTCTAGAATGCAACTTTATTTTTTTTCAGGAACCTTTTCAAGAACACGTAACCTGTATAAAAAGCACCATGCCTGTACAATAGATAGTTCAAATGAGCATTTCATTCAATATTTACGTTGGCCTCAAAATTATTCACTTGGAAACAGATATTTTGAGGAACAAAATAGGTGGGAAAGATATAGCAGATACCCTGATCAACCTAGCTTAGCTTTAACAAACATGTTAGAAAGAACTTTTACATTATCTCTTCATAACAACCCTATGAGGTTGACAGGGCCCTGATTATTATCCTCATATAGCACATAAGGAAACCAAAGGTCGGAAAAATTAAATGGATTGCTTAAGGACCTGAAGTTGGTTAGTGGCAGTGCCAGGGATAGAACTCAACATCCTTTGGCTTCTAGTTTAGTGTACAATTCATCATTCTATATTGGAGACAGCAGACAACCAGAACACAGTATTATGGTCTGCTCAGGGTAATTTGTTGACCAATGAAATAATGCAAAGTCAGAGTTCACTTGCACACCATCTCTGTGCACCTCTTTTCTGAAGTAAATCCCAAGGTGTCCTTTTGAAGGTCTGAGTTGATCCTTAGAAGAACTGACTCTTTGATTCCAGAGATGGGAGGCAATATCTCCTCTGTCTCTTTATTTCCTACATCCTCTATTTTTGGGAGAGAAGGGTCTTTGTTGTTCTGTACTTTCATACAAAATAAGCTATTCTTTAGCTGTTCAAATGTGAAATGGGCTTACTTAAATGAATGACTATTCCCATGCCTTAAAAGCTCTCCCCTGCACCACATGTACCTACTTTCATTTTCATTTCTCCGATGTAATGCTTCTACTTTAGGAAAAGAAAGATTTGCACAACAATGGACTAGAGAGAATAGAGGCACCATGAGTGAATCCAAATTTTGAGAGGTTGGAGAGACCAAAGGCTTACTACAACTCTTAGACACTCATACTCTTAGCACTTTGGGACTCATTGTGTTGCTAAGATTTTCTTGTGCTCTTCCCTTTTTAAAAGCAGGTGGGCTAAGACATTTCTTTGGAGCCTCTGTGAGCCATTTCTCCTGTGAGAGTCACATCTCCAGTCTGCCAAGGATTGAAAATTCAGACAATCACATGGATCATTCAGAATGGTGCCAAATAGATTCCACTGAAAGCCACTGACAATTATTGCAGCACACGTCACCCAGAGATGTAGCAGCTCCTTCTAGAATCTGGCATGAGGCTTGTCCTTAATGCAACAAAGATGACACCTATGCGTGCAACACTCCCTGTGGAAATAACAGTTTCTGTCTTCTTGTGGGGAAAAAGGTAGATGGGGAGAAAGTATCTTCTCTTGGAATGTTTGACTTAATACAGCAAAGTCTGAGTCCTAGTTGCATGAACACCCCTTCTATCACTGGCTAATTGCTTTTTGCAACGACCAGATTTGGTATTAAAAAAAAAAGTCACCTGCGCCAAAGATTAGGAGGAATATTAGAAAATGCCTACTGTAGTCACAGAAAGAAAAGAGTGGAAGGAGTAGAAACCTCAAAAGACAGCTTTATTACCATGAAGGGTGAACAAACCCTAAAGTGGATCACAATTTTGGGAAAAATTAGTCCCAAACTCTCTCAACAAAGTGGTCCAAGGAGTCACATCAGAAAGCAGACGAACGGCAGGGGGGAAAGGAAAGGAGGCAAAACAAGTGGCGCGTACCAAGTTTAAAAATCTATATGTATGAAAGCCAAGACTAACTGAGAAACTGTGAGGAAAGGAAGAAACGCTGAGAGAGAATTAAGGGGAGGAGGAAAGGAGGGTGTACGAGCCGAGAGAGCAGAGCAGGAACATAAAGAACAAAAGCCCTAGCCGAGTCTGGCGGCGGCAAGGAGGGAGCATGGGGTGTTTTGAATAATTATTAAAATTAGCATGTGTCTGCGCCATCCTGTGGGTGTGGTGCAGAGCGGAGTGTAAACTCTAGCAGGGCTGGAGCAAACATTGGATTATAGGCAGTGAGCCTGCCAGGCAGAGGAGTACAGGAGACAGGAGCGGGAGGCACACGGAAAGCAGGATGGCTTCATCTCAAGGGAAGAACGAGCTGAAATTCGCCGACTGGATGGCAACTTTGCCAGAAAGCATCCACAGCGTCCCCCTCACCAATTTAGCGATCCCAGGTACGAATGAAGTGGCTGCCCTGCCCGGCTCCAGCCGGAGGGGCTGGGGTGGGTTTGCTCTCTCTCTTCTTTCTGCCCTGCCACGCTCCTCTGCTTTATCTGCTACTGAGTGGCAACTTGCCACTGGCTAGAAAGAAGCTATTTTCTCAGGTTTAGGGGAACACATGCCCAGGATCCCTTGGCTTCCGGGCGTTTGGCAAATCTCTGGGGACCAGAACCCCTAGGTTGGTGTCAAGGTGACTGGGGTTTCCAGTAGCTTTTGGATTAGTCTGTGTGCAAGGGTGGGGAGCTTTCCAGAGATGCTTGGAGCTTTAGAGCCCCCTTGTCCTCCCAGCACTATTTTTTCCTTCGACATTGGGGGCCAGGCGGAAGGAGCTTTGGGGAGCTGGTGAAGGGGGACCGTCTTGTACGGCCAACCTCAGTGCGCCTCCAGGGATCGCGGCTTTCAGTTGAAGGACCTCAGGCTCCTTCCGCGACATAGAATTGAGCAGCTTTGGTGGATTTCTCGGTCAGACCCTCCCAGGTCATTAATATTCTTCTCGGGTCTTCCTTAAAGGGACAAAGCATCTTCCAAAGAGTCGATGAAAGTTCGGAGGACCAGAAGAGGTTGTTCTTGGAAGAGGTGGGCGGTTGGGATAGAGAGGTCAAAGGAGACTTTTCCAGATGTGTCCAGATGCATGCGAGAACCGGGAGGTCAGAGCAGGATGGGCTTGGTGGCTTGTGGGCTGTCAGGTGCAGTTCCGCGTCTGGAAGAAGTGCATGGCAATGGTATGAAGAGCTCTTGGCCAGAAAACCAACCTCAAGGATGTTAGCGGAGGGAGAGCACTTGGTTCCAGAGTTAAAACCGGGTAGGACTTTAATTGGGAGCAGGATTTAGAAGCCAGAGAAAGGGTAAGGGGAATGAAAATAGGTAGAAAAAGGAATTCTTCCAGATGAATTGAACCTCTCTGAAAGAGAAACTACCTGACCTAGAAAGTTACAGGATATTTCAGACTAGTTAGGGCTGTAGGTGAAAGGCTTCTATAACAGAAGCATGCCATACCTTCTGGCCAGGAGTACAGGAAATGAGGGGTCATTTGCAGAGTTCACAACACTAGGGACGTGGTCGGTACTGGGTACAAATTCGACCATTACTTCCCAGCGGGGTGGAATGTGCCCAGAGAGCTGTAGATGCCGCTGTCCATTTCAGGACCTCTGTAAAGGGCTTGTTTGACTCGTTGGGGCCTTCAGTGCCTTCTAGCCTGTTCGGATCCAGGTTCCTTGGCCAACTGTTCTGCCCCCGTAGCTCCCTCTTCCCCTACCCCAATCCTATCTCAGAGGATGGGATCAGGTACTGAAAATCTCCAAAGGCTCCACTGAAGGACGGCTGAATTTGCTCAGTAACTGGGTTTGTTCAGCATATGATTGTGAATTTAGCATATCTTTTGCAACAACTGCAAGCAATGACATTGAATAGGTATTCAATCATGTTGTATTCTTTACTATTCAGGGGTTCTAGAATTTGGAAATGTTTGTGTTCTGACACTAAAAATGCAGTTTTTCTTGAGTTCTAAGGATCCTATAGTGAAAAGAACACTTCCCAAACTCCACTTTTCCCATCCAACTGGCACCTTGTAGATTGAAAATTATTCCCTCAAAGAAAACTGTGCAGAAAGTATATGATTGGGCTTGCTGGAAACATCTTAGTCCTGATTTCCCTGCATCTCTGATCCTCTATTTAGTTTGCATCATATTTCATTTCTTTGATCATACTAGCATATACATTGTTTTATGTGGAGGGCAGGGACTAAAACCATTTGACAAAACAGGAAAGAAAAAGAGGCAAGACAGAGTTTGAGTGACCTGATTAAGGTCACATAGCTTTATATTTTGTCATTAAAAACATTTATAAATAGTGTATTTTATTTTTTTGGAAGCCCATTAACACTTCATTATTAGGATTTATATTTTGAGGAGAGTGTATTGATCATCTAGTCCCATGCCCTCATCTTATCAGTGAGAAAACTGAAGCCCGGAAAGGTTGCTCCATGAGGTAGGTAGGCCAGTTATTATTAGCCCCATTAGCACTTACAACAATATTTGGAACACAGTAGATGCTTAATAAATGCTTGGTCCCTTTACCTAAGGATCACATGGCTACTAGATGATGTAGCCAAAATTGAGCCTTTGTCTTTAAAACCTCCTTCTATTATATGACAACCCAAAGAAGGAGGTCTTTTGTTATAGAAGACTTGGAGAAGACTTAACATCTGTAATTATTTGCTTTCACAGTGGTGTAACTAGCATGGAACAGGTGATACAGCAGCATATTTAGAGATGTTTGAATGCAAAAGGTATCAGATTCAGTCTAGGATAGGGACTGGGAGTGGGATGAGACAGCTTCCTTTCCTTTCTTATGCTCTAGCTTCCGTATCTGTTTGCTGGTGACACAGACCCTGTTTCAAACTATAAATATGATATGAAACTTGAGATTTTTGGTCTTCTACGCAGAATTTTTGATTCCCAATTTGAGTTATACCTGTACAGCTATCACTTAGTTTTAGAAACACCCTCATTACTACACCCACTGGAGGGTCTCTCTTGTCCCTGAGTCTCTGGGATCTTTCATCAGGATAAGACTCCTGAGTTCTGATCACTGTACAAGAGCCTAACTTTCTTTATTCATTAATTAATTCAGTAGATAGTAATTGTCTACTTGTGAAGAATACTACACTAATCTCTCTCTCTCTCTGCATGTAGATACAAATTTTAATTAAATCATGATTCCTGCTTTCTTGGAGCTTATAGTCCAGTAAAGGATAAAACACAAACATGTAACTATTATACACAACATTACATTATAGATAGAGAGGTGCCAAGCATAGGGCTTCATAAGGTTTTGTGGAGAGGTTGTAAAAAGGCAGAACCCTCCTTTGCAGAGGAACTTGGTGGCAGAGATTCCAGTTGTGTGGAATAATAAATATAATGTCATGTTTTTGGTATACTGATTTATTTTATTGATTTTCTTTTCTTCCTCTTTAAAAAATATTTGTAATGAGGGACACCTCTATGGGAGACAGTAGGAATGTGGGGCAATCTAGGTGATGTAAACACAAAGGATACTAATAAAGTCCATTAAAAATCAGGGGGCAGCTAGGTGGTGCAGTGGATAGAGCTTGGGCCTTGGAATCAGGAGGACCTGAGTTCAGATCTGGCCTCAGACACTTAACACTTACTAGCTGAGTGACACTTAACCCCAATTGCCTCACCAAAAAGCAAAAAAAAAAAAATCAGTCAGGACTAGGATGACATAATCACCCCAGACTTTGTTAATTCAGAATGGGAAAAGAGGACCTATCTGAAGACTTATGTCCCCTATAAACTACTTTTCTCCTTTTGGAGAAAAAAAAGGTGGAACATTTTTATTCTGAGATGTCTAATTGGAGACTATTAAACACTAATGGAATAATTGCCTCAAAATCATGCTAATAGCTTCTTGGCTGCTATGTGTTTACTTGGCCAGTTGTTCCAGCTTGAATTAAGTAATTATCTCCACCATTTAAAGCTTCTCCTCCACAACCAAATAAGTGTTTCAGCAATAGGAGGTATTTCTGCTGGAGCACCCTTAATGCTTTGGGTTTCCTTGGGTTAGGTGATTGGAAAGTGAAAAGTGGTCTAATTAAGAGAGCTAACAGTTGGAACAACTGACCTGGATTAAACCTATTGGTATAGAACATAACAATTGGCAGGTGTGTAACATTTATCACCCAAAGTCAGTGGCAACCTATTTAAATATTTCCCAAATGACTGTATCTTTTAATGCTTTCAGAAATGATGCCTTTCCTTGGCTGTTTTGCATTTAAATGGCCCCATAATTTAGTATTGATGAGGTGGAGAAATCAAGTTAGTCACTGGTGTTAGTTGTTTTACTTTTCAATTTGTTTTTAAAAAGAACTGTTATAGTAGACTACAATGAACAATCTCTCCCATTTGCTGGACTTTTTAGTGCAATTTATCATTTCCTTTTCTCTAGGACACAAAATTAAATTTTGATTCATAAATATTTGTTTAATGACATCCTAGCATTTGGGTTTTTAATCATACTCCCTCTTGCTACAAATTGGAGAAGTAGGAAAAACTGTACAAATACAGGTGTATTTAAACAGAGCAAAAAACAGGAAAAGGTAAAGGTATAAGAAGCAGATTAAAGCTGAGCATCATAATGGTTGGGACCAACTTGGAAAACCATCCTACTGCTATGTAACACTGATGGCCTCTAACATTTTTAAAGGGTGGATCATTTGTTTCTTCTAATATAAGGTATTTTAAAAAGAGAATAAGCTTGGGATTTTCTAAATAGAATTCCCCTTGGTTATAGACCAAATCTAGAAGAGGATATAAATAATTTAGCTCTTGGTTGGTCCCAGCTACATATCTGATGTAGCTTTGGGAATTTTTTTTTCATTGTTTCAATGAACTGACTCTTAGCAGAAAAAAATCTGGTTTTTAGAAAAAGATCTCAAAACTTAGGACAATTGAGAAATCCTTTTGTTTTTTCTTTTGATGAGGAGATACTTATGTAGCTAAACTCCTCTCTCATGAAACCAGCGTAACATTCCACTTATTTTCTTTGGAAAATACCAAAGTGCTCCTCTATCACCTCCAAAGACATTTTATTCTAGAGAAACAGTGTTAATACAGCATCAACTATTACTTTGCCAAGGCAACACTAACAGAATATTGTGACATAATAGAAGAGGCTAGGTCAAACACTTAATTTAAAAAACATATACTAATTTATCAGATAATGAATTTTATTGATATCTTGTCTTTTTACATCACAGTCATTTCCAAACATGTCCCCCTATCCTCACCCAGTGAGGCTTCCACTATAAAAAAGAAAAGCAATTACCACAACCAGGAGTGACTGAGTCTGATGGTAAATGCAGCATTGTACACCCATAGATTTACTTCTCTACTGGAAAGGAAGGAGGTGTACTTTCTTAGTTCTTCTCTGGGGC